CTGCGCATGTTCTGGCCCATTCGTCTTGCTGCGGGGGAGTGCTCGCGGTGGAGGATCTGAGAAATAAGACCCTGCGACCCGAGCGCGGCGCCCCCCCCCCGACGTCAGGCGGAGGGCCCGTGGCCCGGGGCCCGCCGCCGAGGCCTGGCCCCCTTTTGGGCTGAGGAGCGGCGCCCCCGCCGACGTCGATCGGAGGGCCGCCTCCCCCCCTCCCTCCCCACCCCCCCCCGCCTCCCACTCGGAGGGCCGCCCCCTTTTACCCCCCACCCCCCCCGCCCCCACGCGGCGCGCGAGGCGGCGACCTCACGGCCCCTGGTGACCCGGGCCGCTCGAATGCAGCCGGGCGGGGCCACGAGGAGGAGAAGGAGCTCTCCATCGCGCTCCCGTGGGAGAAAACAGGACTGGCGGCCAGGCTCTTGTGATTCTTGTCGGCCTCTGGGGCCCCTCGCCGGGCCCCGTGACCGTCAAGTAGCAGTTCAGGACGAGGAGCTGGTCCGGGGCATGGGGGTGAGACCTCAGGGGGTTGACGTTGTGGAAACATCATGCCGTCGGGGGTTTGGGGCCACTGCATCTTCGGCCCATCCTATGTTCTGAGGCACTGTTGCTAGCCATTTTCGCCCAGGAGATGGCAGCCGGAACGTCCAAGGTCATGACGTTCTCACCGCGCATCCCTATGCTCCCGTCGCGCTGTAGGGTCACAGCAGATGGTGTCGGAGAATCTCGATCGTACCCCAGGCCCCTCGCCTGGCCCCAGGACCGTCACAAGGCAAATCAGCATGAAACATCTATCCGTACGGGGGACTGCCCGGGAGGCCCTGCATCGCAACAATCAAGACTTCGGATATCCGGGGACCGTGCCGCATCGCCGATGCGGAGCGATCAAGGGCACGACCTGTCCCGTGCCGACGTTGCCGATGCGACGATGCATCCCCGATGCACTTGTCCACGCCAGAGATCCATCCACTTGTCCACCGATGCCGTGCAGCTCCTCGAGATCCTCGGGGGCACGTCTCCAAACGGGTGGATGTGGAAAGCTCCCTGACGTGGATCGGGGCGGACGAGCGGGGGGGGTTCTTGCGGAAGCTGCTGCGTGCAGTTGATCTCGACGCCGCTGCTGGGCATGTTTTCCTCAGCGCGTGGTCTCGCTCCCCGCACCTCGAGGGCCAGCGCTCCCCTGTGCCGTCCCCCCCCCTTCCCGGAGATCCGACGTCCTTCCTGCCATTAACTTTCCGTCAGGGCTGTCCCTCGACAGGAGGAATATTCCCAAATAGTCAAAACACAGTCTGGGGACGATTCTCCCAACGTCTCCTTTCCGCCTTTGGGGCATTTTCGGACCACCTTGCACTCTTCGTCCAGAATCCCCCGTTCGGAGGACAGGCCCGACGTCCAACATGAACTGCGTCTCCCCCCCAAGAAGGTCCCGATCTCTGCTTCCCCCCGGGCCGGCGTTCCATCCCGAGGCGCCCCGGGGCGGCCTCGCCCGGCCGCCAGATCCTTTCATTTCTAATGCTTCTATCCTGGGCCTCTTCCTGGCCACTAGGGGGCGAAAAAACCACGCACGAAACCGAAAAAAACACAGGGAATGGACGTCCGAGCGATGCCCAGTCTTGCGTGTAGCCGAAGAAGAGCCTCCTCAAAAGACATCTGACGTCTGGGGTGCGACCCTCGGGCCCCAGCTCGGGGGCGTCCCCGGTGCGATCTCTGCTCCCCCCCCGGGCCAGCGTTCCATCCCCGAGGCGCCCCGGGAGGCGGCCCGCCTCGGGGCCGGGCGAGGCCGCCCCCCCAACGTGCCGAGGAAGGGAGAGGTCGACTGCGCGTTGCTCCCCAGAGGAGAAAAAATGTACTCCAGATTTCGTAATAAAAGGGAGGGGGTCTGGACCCTCCCAGACAAGCCATTTCAGACCTCCCCCGTGGGAGAACCCTCCAAAACATCGTCCCCAGACCCCCCAGGCCCTCCAAGATAGCCTGGAAGAGACACCCTCGTCGCCACCGCTGGCACTCGCCTCGGAAGTTTGGTGAGAGCGCACCCCGGGAGAGGCCCGGGGAGTAGCGGTATCGGTACCTTTTGGTGTCTCCAGTTCAGTTCTAATTCTTCGAGAGTTCTTTGATTTTTTTGGGGGGCAAGATCCTTTCATTTCTAATGCTTCTATCCTGGGCCTCTTCCTGGCCACTAGGGGGCCAGGAACAATCAGAGACGAGCACAATTAGGAATGAGCACGATCAGAAATGAACGACGTGTACACGTAAGAGTGACCTTTCGCCAGAGTGACCTTTGGTGCGGGCCCACTGGTGCCCCCCCATCGCCGAGCGCGATGCGGCAGTTGCGTCTCGCGCGCTCGTGTTTGGTCCCCCCCCGCGGCCCCCCCAAAAAAGCCGCGCACCCCAGGTCACTCTGACCCAGGGTCACCCTTGCGTCAGGAGCGAAAGAAGGACGTACACGTACATGAATCCACGCTGGTCTCGAGAGTTCGCATGGCGCGAATGTTCGTATCACGCGGCCGGTCTCGCGGGTCAAGGGGCCGTGTTCTTGTACATAGCTGGGCGCGTACGTCCTTTGTGGGCACCCTTGCGTGTAGCCGAAGAAGAGCCTCCTCAAAAGACATCTGACGTCTGGGGTGCGACCCTCGGGCCCCAGCTCGGGGGCGTCCACGAGGGGGGCGAAATGACCATGGGGATGTGTGTGGATGCCATGGCCGGGGCCATGCTGCATCTCCAAGGTGTCCTGGTCCTTAGTGGGCCCTGGAAACGACAGGGCTCTTTTTTTACCGGTTCCGTTTTGCCGTTGTTTTGCCGGCTCCGACGCCGTTTTTTCACCGGTCCCGTCGCCGTTTTTTGACCGGTTCCGGCTCCAGTTCCGATCCTGGAGCCGTTTTTTTGCCGTTTCCGGTCGCCGTTTTTTTGCCGTTTCCATTTTCAATTGATATTTTTTGGGAAACGGTGAAAAAACGGCCCTGCCGTTTCCGGGGCCCACAAAGTCTTGGCCCCATCTTCTGCTTTCACCTGGCCCCCCCCTCCTGTCCGCGCGCACGCCTCGGATCTTGGTGCGCCATTCCCCTTCTTCCACGGCCCCCCTTCTTGCTTGGATGCCCCCGACGTCATGATTTTTTGGTCCCCAACGCCTACCCCCCCCCGAGTATCAGTCTCGGACCACTTCCCAGGACCGGCTCTTCATCCTGAGTCGTTTCCGGACGGTCCCGGGGGCCGTGCGAGGGACCCAGAGGCCGAAGATCGGCCAAAACCGTCCGTCGTGTTTGCTTCCCCCCCGCTATCTGCCCCGCCCCTCGTGGGGAGGCCCTCAGGCGAGTGGCCGCTCGACCGTCAGTGCATCCTGCGGCTGCCGGTGGACCTGGCGGAGCGGGCCCGCGGCTGCCTGCAGCCTGGCGCTGCGCCGGGCCTGGACCTCAGCCTGAGGCCAGCGGACCAGACGCGGTCTTCGAACGCGCTCGATCGGTACGATGGACAGCGGACTCCTCCTCCTCCTCCTCCTCCTCCTCCTCCTCGCGGTACGGAACGGGCGGTGAGGAAGACGGGCAGCAGATGCTGGCCGGTTTGGGGAGGACTCTCCGTCGGCGTCGCCGCGTACGCTGTCAATTTGAGGCAAGAGGTCGCCCGTCAAACGGCGGCCGCTGTCGGTTTTGGACGACATTTGCTGGTGGGCAGCGTGCCTATTTTCTGTCCGTACCCATTTCGGACGTGCCAATTCGAGTAGCCATGAGGGGCATTCCAGAAAAGGGTTTCGCATTCGGCGCGTCTCGCCGTCGGCGGAAGCCCGCTGAAGGAAGGCAGGCGGAAGCCTGCACCAGTGAAGCGAGGGCGGGTCCGCCCGCAGAAGGGGGCGGAAGGCGCGGAAGTGAAAGTGAGACGTCAAAATGCTTGGCTTCAGGCTTTCGGCATCGGCTCGGCCAGAGGATACGGCAGGTTCGCGTTGTGTCGACAGGCGGCGACTCCAGCGAGTGCGTTTCAGGTTGAACGCCGCCCGTGGCCCAGAATCGGCCCGACGTTGAACGATCCAGCGTTAATGGAATGGACGATCGTTCAAGTTTGAACAATCCCCGCGGTGTCAGGAACCAACGCAGGGGTCGACACGACGTGAACCTGCCGTAGGGAGTCATTGGGTAAGGGGTCTTGGATGTGTTTCGTCGCTTGCGGGCTCCCAGGGCTCTCGTCGAGCCCCTGGGACCGTCCGCAAATTGGATGCAAAGTCGGTCCCAGAGAAGGCCCCAGAGTCCACCCTGTGGCGCGCAAAAGGGGACACCGCGGGAGCGGTGGCCTTTTGGTCAGCTGACATTCGCGCTCATGGGCTGCCACAGCCTACGGCACGAACGCGAACGCGGAGAGATTCAGAGAAGGCAGGTTTTTTTTAGAAGCCCTCCCACTTCAAAGAATAACAGCCTACGGCACGAACGCGAACGCGGAGAGATTCAGAGAAGGCAGGGTTTTTTTTTAGAAGCCCTCCCACTTCAAATAATAACCTTCTCGGAGGCGGGAGGGCTTCCAGGAACACTGTGTCCCCCTTGCTGGAGGTGCCCGACGGTCTGCGGAGTCCGAGGCTGGGATCCATCCACATCCCCGACTCGCACCCAGAAGTAAGGTTAGGTCGGGCCTATGGCTCTCCGGGAGGAATATCCCGAAATGGTCGAAAATAGTGCGGGGACTATGTTTGGACTATTTTTGAACATGTTGGGAATCTATTTTTGGAGTCAGTCTAATTTTTCGCCCAAAGTTCCTCTGTAGGGGCACAGGCCCGACCTAAAAGTCAGCACGAGCTCCCCGCACGCAAACCAACGAACATGTCTTCGCCCACAAAACATTGTCCTCGGGACATCTTCGTGGATGCGTGCTGGCCCAGGTCTCGAGGGTAATCCGGCCGGGGCCACGAGGAACCTCCTGGAGGCCCCCAGAGCAGGCAGACAACGTCTGACGCAACCAAGGTGTCTTCGAGAAAAATAGCTGGTTTTCAAGGCTCGGCTTCTCCATTTGGACGACGACGACGAAGACGGCGGCGGCGACGACGACGACGACGGCGGCGGCGACGACGACGACGGCGGCGACGGCGACGGCGACGACGACGACGACGAGCCAGCGAGGCCCGCGCCGGCCAGAGACGAGCCCGGCGCCCCCAACGGCCGGCTTTTCGACGTCAGCGCGTTCGGCGAGAGCCTCCACGGCACGCTCGTGGACCTCCGGCGGCGCGGCGGAATCGGGCAGTGCCACGGGGCGGGCATTGCTAGGGGGGTCACGAGTTCCGCCCGGAAGCCGAGGTCCTGCTAGATGCTAGGCCTCCCGGATGGGGTCCAGGTCGATGGGGTCGGAGGATCGCGCCGCATCGCCGATGCAGCGGCGATGCGGCTCGATGACAGATGTGGAGCCCGACTTTTTCCACGCCGACGGCGCTGGTGCATCGACGGCGTCGCCGATGCATCGCCGCATCGCCAGATGCATCGACGATGCGGAGCGCTCCTCCGTTCCCATCTACTCCGGCCCCAGTTGGTAGGCCACTACACCTGGGGGGTCGCCAGTTCTCCTTGGAAGCCGAGGTTCGAGGATCGACGCTCGAGGAGGTTTATCGACGTTGGCTTCGTTGTAGAGTGGTCTGAGGGGGGCACCTCTTCAAGGAGAGGGCGCTTCCTCCTCAAGAAACGGGCGCTTCCTCCAGGACGTGCCGACGCCCCTCGAGTGGTGACCCCCAGGGGGCGGCGCAGTGGGGACGGACCCCAGACGAGGCAGTCCTCGCGAACGGGGGGTGGGGGGTGGGGGTCGGCAGTTCGTGGCCTCCGGGGGCCCTCGCCGGGCCCCAGGGTCGTCAGCAGAAACGGGGCTCGGGATGGGAAGCCGGCCCCGGGGGAAGCGGCCCCGATTTTTGGGGAGACACTGTGAGAAAGCCCCCGATTTCTGCCGATTTGATTTTTCAGGCCCGGCCGGCGGTTTGCCTCGGCTTCGGCACCCGAGGCCATTGATCGGGCCCCGGGACCATCAACAATGAGTTGGGGACAAATTCTTGTCCACGGGAGAGGTCGGGAGCTCCCCAGACATCCGATTGTTCCCGCATCCAAAGTGGGGTTATTGTTTTCTCTGCGCACCCCCCGCGCAGGAACCTCACACCTCACCCCCTCTCCTCTTCTCCCGTCGCACACTCACTCATGAACTCAATCACTCACACCATCATCTTCAGTCCCACGTGCACACACACACACACTCACATTCAATCATCACCCATTCGTCATCACACCCACTCGAGCACTGTTATTCATTTCATACAAAACTACCCCTCATCACTCATCATCATTAGCATCACAGCACCATCGTTTTGTTGCCCACATCCAAAATGGAGTTCCTGTTTTCTCTAGACACCCCGCGCAGGAACATGAGAACACCGACTCTCCTCTTCTCCAATCGCACACTCATTCACTCAATCACTCACACACATCATCACTCACACTCACTCACACATTCACCCTCTCGCTCACCCCCTCACACACACGCGCACACTCACTCACCCACTCACTCACCCACTCACCCACTCAAGCACACACACACACTCATCATCATCATCACTCACTCACGCACTCACTCACCCACTCACCCACTCACTCACCCACCTACCCGCCCACTCACTCACTCGCTCACACTCTCATCATCACCATCGTCATCATCGTCATCATCATCAGCATCATCATCATCTTCATTCACTCACTCATTCACTCACTCACACATCTCAGGCGAACCTCGTCTGTGAGTGAATTGCGAGGAAGTCTCAGGCGTTATCCCCCCTCCCTGTGGGGCCCGCAGCTCATGTTGGTAATCCGAACGGGTCCTCGGTCTCCTGCAGCTGTCGTCACTTTTGTGTTCCTCAGGCTTGAATTTGGAGGAAGTCTCGGGCGGGAGCCTCGTCTGTGAGTGAATTGCGAGGAAGTCCCAGGCGGGAGCCCCATCCCTATGGGACCCACATTTCATGTTGGTAGTCCGAGCGGGTCTTCGGCCTCTTGTAACTGTCGTCACTTTTGGGTTCCTCAGATTTGAATTTGGAGGAAGTCTCAGGCGGGAGCCTCGTCTGTGAGTGAATTGCGAGGACGTCTCAGGCGAGAGCCCTCTCCCTATGCGCCCGCAGCTCATATGAGTAATCCGAGCGGGCCATCGGCCTCTGAGGCATGAAAATGATGGAAATATGATGCGGGAGCCTCGTCTGTGAGTGAATTGATGATGATGATGATGATGCTGATGCTGATGCTGATGCTGATGCTGATGCTGATGATGATGATGATGATGATGATGATGATGATGATGATGATGAGGAGGAGGAGGAGGAGGAGGAGGAGGAGGAGGAGGAGGAGGATTACCAAGCGCGCTATAGGCTTAAAGGGTACCTAAACCATCTTTCAGTATGAGGCAGCCATCAGCGAAATACTAGAGACTGTGCGACTGCAAGAGATACACAATTTAGTAGTTGGCCGACCGCAAGCCGCATCCTCAAAGTCGGAGGTACTGCCGAAAGCTCTTGGCCACCTGCTGACACCAGGGGGGTCCACGTACCCGTTTTTTTTTTTTTGCCAGCGGCCACGTATTCCACCCCACTTATAGTTTTCGGCCATACCTCTAGATAGGGTGCCACATCCTTCGACGGGGGATCTGGCAAGTCACCCCGCTCTGTTCGAGTGGATTGGGGCTCCGCTGTCGAGGAATACCAACTCGGGCACGGCACCGAAGTTCGTGACATTTTCGTTGCGTCACGAATTTGGGTGCGATCTGGCCCCTCGACCCGTTGAAAGGCCGACCTCGGATTTTGGCTCCACCGGCCTATCCGCTGTGGGGGCGAGCCTGCCCACGTGCGATCCCACGGCAGCGGGAGCAAGGAACCCTCAACACACGCAAAACTGCCAACCGCAACAGTTTCCTGCTGTATAGAAGGACGGGTGCCAGGCCGTTCCAGGGCAACCTCGGCTCTGTGTCTTGCAGCGCGGAGAGCGCTGGGCATCCGAGGCCGCGGCCCACCATCGCAGAGCTGTGGGCCGCGCGCAGCCGCAACAAGCGTCCATGTCTGGAGCCACTTCGTGTGCCTCCTTCCTTCCCAGACCTCCGACGCTGCACTTTTCAAAAGCGGTGCTGCTTTGCGTTGGGCCATGGTGGGCCCTGTGGGCCGCGCGCAGCCGCAACAAGCGTCCATGTCTGGAGCCACTTCACGTACCTCCTTCCTTCCCAGATCTCCGACGCTGCGCTTTTCAAAAGCGGTGCTTGCTTTGCTTTGGGCCATGGGGGGCCCGTTCCCGGGCCCAGGGACCACCAGAAACATGTCCAAGGCGATCAACTGGCCCCTGGGATTAAGGCGTTGGGAACTGCCTGGGGCCGCGCAAGGAAGAACTCCTGTCGTGGGATGTCTGGGCCTGCGCGCCGACAGGACCTGCCGTGCGCCGTCGAGAGCCACCTGCTGCTGCCAGCGCCACCGCGGGCCCCTGACGCCGCAGGAGTCGGCACCCGGGCGGCCGATGCCTTTGTCCTCTTCCTCCTCCTCCTCCTCCTCCTCCTCCTTCCCCTCCTCCTCCTCCTCCTCCTCCTCCTCTCTCCTCCTCCTCCTCCTCCTCCTCTCCTCCTCTCCTCCTCCTCCTCCTCCTCCTCCTCCTCCTCAAGCGGCAGCTCGGATCTGGCCGTCGCCTGGGCGGGGTCAGCGAGCCCGCGCCAGGCGACCCCCGGGCCGCTGTCCCCTCCGCCCGTCCTCTCGTCCGCCCTCCTCGTCTCCACCCCCCGGGCCGCGGATGGTGGCGCCGCCATGGTGCCCGACGGTGGGGCGCCCGCCGCGCCCTCGCCGGACAGCTGCCGAGCGGCGTGCCCAGGCTGGCCGCGCGCAGGCTCGGGCCGTTCAGGCCTTGCTGCGCGCCTTCAGCGGCATGGAGCACCGCGGCTGCCGCCCCACGCGGCTGGGGGCCGCCCTCCGGGACGCGCTTCTCGTGGCACCAGGCAGCGACTTGAGCGGAGCACATGCTGATGAAGCCGAGACCCCTAGGGTTGAAGCCGTGGCGGAGGATGGAGATTTCGTGTTCACCATGTCGCGCGAGGGCACCTCCCAGAGGGCAGAAGCTAATGCCGAGATTGGAGGCACTCTGATCGCCAGCTCGTCCGAGGTTGAAGCCCGTGCAGCGAGGCTCTCAGCTGTGAAAATCGCGGCCGCAAAGGCCGCGTTGGCAGCAGCGCAGGTGCAGGCGCCCACACCCCTCAGCAGCTCGGCGTCGGAGTTCGTCTCGTTCAGCCCGCCGCTCCAGGAGTCGACGGTCGAGGGCCGGGGGATTGCAGCTGCGGCGCCTTGGGAGAGGAGCGAAACCCGAGCACGGCTATTTCGGGATGCTGACCTCCTTCGAGGCGCTGGAGCACAGAGAGGTGCCGTGGCGACTGGCCCGCATATCAACTGGGCAGCCATAGGCGACAGCGGAGCGCTCTCGAGTGCATCGTCGGCATCGCCACCCACAGGTGAGTGCCCGCAGTCGTGAAGGGCAGCCCCGCGGCGTTCGGGCTCGGCTCGAATTTCTGGTGGTGGGTCTGGGGCCGTCTCGCCTGGGGCTCGCGGGGTGTCGCGGGGGGTCCCTGGGCCTCGCTGGGTGTTCTGTCCCCGCGGGATGGGGCTATGCCTGGCCGTGACCCCTTCCCTTTCTTTCTCCTGGGGTCGCGGGCGTGGAGTGCTCTTGTCTGGGTCTGTTCTCGGGCTTCCTCGTCGTGCCGCGGGGTCGGCGCACAGAGTAGAGCAGTCGAATGGAATGTTAGTGCAGCGGAGGGCTCTTCACTCCCACATGCTGTTTGTTTCGTGCCTGTTGGGTTGTGCAGCTGGTTCAGTTTGGATATCACCTCGTGATGGCGTCCACTCCACTCCACTCCTCCTCCTCCTCCTCCTCCTCCTCCTTCTCCTCC